ATTGAATGTTTGCGAGATTTAGTCGCTATAGGTCTTATGTTTTCAGTAAGATTGCTGAATAAAGGCGGAGGATCAATTTGAGCATGAGCTAGAGCGAATATGTTTAGTGGTGATTTATGTCCTCCAAAATCCTTCTGAATTTGAAAGTGATGTTTTAACAAATCGTGACCTATCACAACGTCAGCACATAGATCCTTCAAAACCGCCACTCTTGCTTTGACGTATGAATGTTCTAAAAGCCTTACATTTACAATGCAATACCCAACAATTTGAGAGCTAAGTGAAGTGGATGCCATTGAAACTCTACCAGAACTATGGAAAAGTCTAATTTTATGTTTAGAAACAAATGCATCACTTAAAACAGTTTCTGAACTTCCTGTATCTATTAATGCATAGGCTTGAAGATTATCTACAGTGACTGGCACCACAGCTCGTTTTAAACAAGAAGGTTAAGCTGCTGTCACAGTAGCAACAACATTTGGATCAGTTGTAACGGCGTTAGAAGTTTTATTGTTACTCTTTTTGAGATTAGACCTACAAACTTTTGAATAATGGCCTGTTTTAGAGCAGTTCTTGCAGACTACATCTTTAGCTGGACATGATGCACGTGGATGTCTACCGTATCCACAGAAGTTGCATTTAGAGGTTGTTGCTGAAAGCTGTGACACATCATTCTCAGAAACAGAATTTACAGATGAAGTAGCATTTACAACAGGGTCGACATTAGAATAGCAGACTGACTGATTATGAGCAGCTTCCAAAGCTAGAGCTTGATTAGAAGCTTGTTCCAGAGATAGAGTATTATTTTCTAAAAGCCGTTGTCGTATTGAAGAAGATAAAATTCCACTAAGAAACACCTCCCGAATAAAGTTGTTTTTATGTTCTTCAGCAGTGACTGCCAAAAAATTTACATTCCTTACTTAGAACTTTTAGGGATAGTAGGTATTCACTGATAGTCTTACCTGATTTTTGCTTACGTGATGCTAACTGGTACCTTGTGAAGATTTCACTCGTTGGTTTTATAAATATACTGTTCAGAATCTTGATGGCTTCATCATAGGTATTACATTCAGTTATGAATTCGAAGATAGGTTGGGAAACATGATTAATTAAAAGGTTCAGTTTGTCCTCTGAAGTTACCGTTTCTTCATTTGTTCCAATTTTGTTTACAAAACTTTCAAATGTTTTTAGGAAATGTTTCCAAAGCTTAGCACAGTTGGGAGAACTTGGATCAGTGTCAAATCTATCTGGTTTTAGAAATCTTTCCATAGTATAAGTTTGAGGTAAGGAAAAAGAAATTATGAATAGTCTAACATTTGAATGGATAAGATGAATAAATTGTAATGAAAGTAAAACTCCAGATTAATTGCACACAGAATTATGGGTTTTATTCATCTTAAAACTGAACTATGAACAAGGAATTGCATTATAATGGAATATAAACAAAGCTGAGTATTTACTAATAACATATGACAATAAACATATTAAGCAATTAAATCATGTGAGGTAAGTTTAGTTGTATTTTATTCACTACAGTTGCCTAGGGTAGATCCGGGTGAGGTTCATTTGTCCGAGATTTCAGTTGTCCAAGTTTGTTAAAAACTACAAAATATTAGAAAAATCTGTTGTCCGAGTTTCATTTGTCCAAGTTTTAATAAATAACTAATAATATTTAGATAAATCAACCGTCCGAGTTTTCATTTGTCCGAGTTTATTAAATTAATCGAAATATCAAGTGTCCGAGTTTTCAACTGTCCGAGGGTGGTTTAAATAATAATAATATTTGATTAAATCAACTGTCCGAGCTTTCATTTGTCCGAGTTTTTAAATTATTTAAAAATATATCGAAATATCAAGTGTCCGAGTTTTCAACTGTCCAAGTAGAGTCAACATAAAAAATGTGACACCGCGCGCCGAGACTGGCGTCTCAGGCGCCTGGTCAGAAGCCGATGTAAACCGATGTTCTTCTGCGAAGAAGTCGGGCATTGTGCGAGAGCCTCTCACGTCGACCTAAGAAAAATTATAAAATTAATTTTATAATTTTTTATTATAAAATTGTTTTTTTATCATAAGACTAATTCTACAATTTTTAATTATAAAATTAAACTGTCATCGCCTAACACAACCAACCAAACTTGCTGATAATATAAGAAAGATATAAGATAAAAATCGAATGAAGGTTTACTTATAATTTTTTATTATAAAATTAATATGATATTTTTTTTATTACGAAATTAAACTGTCATAACCTAACCTAACCAACCAAACATGCTGATAATATAAAATACACCCGCTGCAGCAAACCTGCCGACAGTGCCGACTAAGCGAATTTCCATTTGTCTGAATTGATTTTCAATTAAATCTATTTAAATAACATTAGGTCTAACGAGTACCTAGGTTTGCTTCTACAAGGAAACTAATTAAGTGTATTTTTTAGTAAAATATTAATAGCTTAGTACAAAATAAATATATTTGCCAAGTGTAGTGTACTGAATCAGCTGATACAATTTAAATGTGTTTTCAATACTTTGTTTACATTGTTGTTTGTTTACGTTTGACATAACAACATAGTTACTTGGTGTTTCAAATATAACTTTTCTTACGAAAATGTCTTATTACTTTACATAATTAACTCACAGTACTACAAATGGCGCAGTCTACTAAACGGACCGACGATTTACGTATAGATGCTTTTGATGGTCATTCTGAGGAATGGACTTATTGGCTCGAACGTTTCAAGATTGCATTACGAAACAGAGGAATCAAGAATGAGGATACAAAACGAGACTTGTTGCTAGGGAACCTTGGACCTCAACCCTTCAAGCTAGTATTTGACCACGCACGACCTGATCCCGTCAGTAATCTTCACTTTACAGGAGTTATTGATATACTTAAGAAATACTACACACAAAAATCCGCACCACTATCACAGCGGGTTATCTTTAGTCGCCGTTTCAGACAAGAAGGTGAATCTGTTAGTCATTTCGAATTTGCTTTGCACGAAATTGCAGGTCTCTGTGACTTTAGTGACAACTTAGACGAACGGCTGAGAGATCAGTTTGTTCTGGGCATCAACAATGATCGCTGGCAACTTGAACTTTTGCGCTTACATGCTACAACAGATACTACATTTGAACAAGTCACAAACACCGCTACTTTATTGGAAAATGTTGACAATCAACAGTCACAATTCCGTAATACACGTTCAGTCAACAGAATAAACAACAGGAACAAGAAGAATGCTTTCGAAACGATACCGTTGAAACAAGAATCAAAAGGAAACACTTCGAAACAAAACATCTTACATCTTAACAAGAGAACTGACTGCATTCGGTGTGGTTACAAGAAACATACACAAGGAACGAGCTGTCCCGCTGTCGATGCCACTTGCAACGCCTGTGGAGGACTGAATCATTTTGCACGCACTTGTCTTAAAGTGGGTAATGCAGTCATTATCAAAGGTAAGCGACTTAACATGTTAGAGGCAAAAAACTCGTCTTGTACCTCTAGTGTTAAATCTTTTTCTGATACAGATCAAATCCAAGCGATTAATAAAGGGTCGAAAGTAATGCTTTCAGTCAAGTTAAACAATCATACAATTTCAATGTTGTATGACCCAGGTGCAGCGTTCAGTATCATTAGCAGAAACATATGGCGAGATCTAGGAGCTCCTAAACTATTTCCCACAGAAAATCTTAATGCATACACAGGAGTTCTAATTGAAACTATGGGTAAAACGTATGTTTCAGTTGAAGCTTTTGGTTCCAAACGTAATTTACCGGTAATTGTTGTTAAGAAAAACGATATACCTTTGTTCGGCCTAGACTGGGTTCTTGATTTTAACTTACCACTGCCACCTGGGGCTCAAATATGTACATTGTCCAAACAGCAAACAGAACAAGTAAGTGAACAGATTGTTAATGACATTGTTAACGGTTTTCCAGAAGTTTTCAGTCCCTCTTTAGGTACGATTAAAAATCACAAGGTATCTTTTTCACATGGCTTCAAATGCAGCTCCTGTAGTTTCAAAACCACGGCCAGTTCCTTTTGCTTTACGGGAACCTGTGGAAAATGAAATTCAACGATTAGTAGACAGTGGAGTTTTAGAACCAGTCGATGCCAGGAATGAACCTATCATTTGGGCTTCGCCCATAGTAATAGTGGTAAAACCGTCTGGAGCTATCCGCATATGCGCGGATTTCAAAAATACTATAAACAAACATATGCTCCCCGATAAATATCCTATGCCTACATTCGAAGAGATCACCTCAAAACTTACAGGTGGCCAGGAATTCTCCGTCATAGATCTCAAAGATGCATATCTGCAGATGGAGGTCGAACCATCGGCACAACAGTACCTGATTATTTCTACTCACAAAGGATTTTTCAAGTACAAACGCTTACCCTTCGGAATCAAAATTGCCACCGGGGTTTTTCAGTGCAAGATGGATCAAGTACTGGCAGGCTTACATGGAGTCGCTTGTCTCCTTGACGACGTCATAGTCACAGCCCCAACGAGAGAGGAACATATCGAACGTGTCAAAGAAGTGTTAAGACGTTTTCAAGAATCTGGAATTCGTGTCCAGACATCAAAATGTAAATGGTTTCAAGATTCCGTTAACTATTTGGGTCACAGAATTGATAGAGCTGGTATACATCCAACGACAGAACATCTGGAAGCAGTGAAAAACATGCAATCACCGAAAAATGTGAAAGAGTTAAGATCATTTCTTGGGTCGATCAATTACTACAGTAAATTTATTCCCCATTTACAGTCCTTGTGTGTTCCATTACACAAACTGCTAAAGAAAGGCGTGAAATGGCATTGGAACGAAAACCATGAACAGGTAGCAGCAAAATTGAGGCATCTTCTTACTACAACAGACATTGTTGGCTCACTATGACGAATCCCTACCTCTCATCCTCGCAACTGATGCGAGTGATATTGGTGTTGGAGCTGCTCTTTGCTATACTCTTTGCGTTGGAGCTGTATTGTAGCTATGAAAGGGAAGGCACGTTTTCAAGTCTGGTGGCCTAAACTGGACAAGGACTTGGAAGAACACACTAGACATTGCAATGGATGTCAAGAAAACAGAAGCAAAGATCCTGAAATGCCGTTATTCTCATGGCCTGTTCCTGGAGAAGTTTGGTCACGGATCCACATCGATTTTGCCGGACCCTTCATGGGGAAAATGTGGTTGATTGTAGTAGATGCTCGGTCAAAATGGCTTGAAGTATTCCCGATGTCGTCAACTTCAACAAAGTCAACGATCAAAGCTTTAGAAGAGTTATTTTCAAGATTTGGCTATCCAAGGGTAATTGTAAGCGATAATGGACCACAGCTAACATCCTACGAGTTTCAAACCTTTTGTAAGAGCCTAAACATTAAACATGCTCGAATCACCCCCTATCACCCAAAAAGCAATGGGTTAGCGGAACGATGTGTTCGTACATTCAAAGAACGCATGAATGCTTCAAAAGGAAATGCTGGGACTTTGCAAGAAAAACTCAACAGCTTTTTATTTGCTTACAGAACGTCACTGAGAAGATCTACTGGAAAAACTCCAGCATTCATGATGTTTGGTCGCGAATTACGCTCCAAATTAGACATGTTGTTTCCTGACGTTGAGCAGAAAAACGACGAAGAGTTGGTTCAACAGCGGCTACAAAAACCTGGATCAAAAGAAAAAGTTTTTAAAGAGGACGACAATGTATGGGTACTAGACAAATCTGGAGCTGGTTTCAAGAAAGGAACGATTGTGAAAGTGAATGGTCCTTACTCATATGTAGTAAATACAAATGGACTAAATAGACGATGCCACGCAGATCAACTTCGTCTGGCTTAACTCTTAGAAGAAGGGGGGACGATGTAGTGTACTGAATCAGCTGATACAATTTAAATGTGTTTTCAATACTTTGTTTACATTGTTGTTTGTTTACGTTTGACATAACAACATAGTTACTTGGTGTTTCAAATATAACTTTTCTTACGAAAATGTCTTATTACTTTACATAATTAACTCACAGTACTACACCAAGTTTGATCAAAATATATCAATAAACAAGCAAACTACAACATTTTACAATATTCTCCATAAGAATAACATGGGAATTTAAAATTTACAATTTTTTGAATATTCTCCATTACCAGTAACCGTACAAAAACACTTTGATATACTATAGTTTTTTTAAGATTTTTTTAAAAGTCTAGAGAGAAATTGGGATATTTTGTGTTTTGAGGGTAAAAAACTAGAAAAACCAATATTTACCCCATAAAACCCCCCGAAAAACCCCGTTCCCATGGTCCGATCATGCTGGTTCGCGAACTCATTCAAGTTTATCCCGCCTTACACCTTTAAACCAAATTTCATCAAAATCGGACAAAAATTACTCAAGTTATCGCGTTTGCAGACGTATACGTATACGTATACTGGATACATATATAAAAATTTGAACGAATGGTGTTTTTGGCCTCTGGGGACATCAAAATGAAAAAGTAAATCGGTCCCGGGCCTAGGGCTTACCGTGCCACCTACGGTAATAGCTACTTCCCTATAGGGAAATTCGCTAAAAATATAATATAATTTTTCTTAAGTCGACGTGAGGGGCTCTCGCACAATGCCCCACTTCTTCGCAGAAGAGGTTTACATCGGCTTCTGACCAGGCGGCTGAGACGCTAGTCTCGGTTAGCGGTGTCACATTTTTTATGTTAACGCTACTCGGACAGTTGAAAACTCGGACACTTGATATTTCGATATTTTTGTTTAATAATTTAAAACTCCGGACAAATGAAAGCTTGGATAGTTGATTTAACCAAATATTATTATTATTTAAACCATCCTCGTGTAACGGCTCCACCCCCATAATAATATTATATAATATATAATCAATTTTTACAATCAATTTAACTAATAATCCGATAATAATAACCCTTTTTTTAACGATAACGTAATACTTTTAGAATGATTTATTTCAAGGGTATTAAAATTATTTTATCCTTTTTCTATGTATTTCCTATTTTTATATATTGTATTAATAATTCAGATTATAAAAGAGAGCCTAATGTTCAAGCTAGTTGTTAGACAGACGTTGGTTGCGAGGAGTGCTGACGCTGAAAGAATGTCGGCATCAGCACTCTGCAAGTGGAACGGGCAGTCGAGTCCGAGCTAGGTGTCGATACAGTTTACTATTGTAAGTACGGTAGTGCGTTATTTCATCATGTAACTTTTTAATAATTCTTTTAAACTGCTAAATTTCGGCCCTATTTCATACCAAACGTTAGTCTCTCTTTTTCCATTGTGATTGTCTAGAAGATGTTTTGTAAAAACTCACTATTTTGCATTTAAATAAAATATTTACTAAAATTCAATAATGCGTCATTTCATTGTTCTTCCCGAAATCGGGTGGTGGCAGCGGTATAGCTACTGACAGTTAAAAACATAAATCATTAAAGTTAAGTAAAGCTCGGTGGCGTTACAAGTGTTGGCAGAGCGGTGGGATGAAGAACTTGAAGTGTTCGGTTTTTTACGACAACTTTAGCGCCTCGTGAAGATAAGTGACAAAGTGCACATGTTATTTAAACTGTGAAGTGACGCGTTAAAATGCAGATAAACTAAATCTAGACGACGTTTCTAAGTTAAATACGTGAAAACGGGAGTTTTAGAGAGCGTCAGTGCCGAGATTCGAATGGATTTAAATTTACGAAGATTCAAGATGGCGACAATGGCGGACAGCAATTAAACGGCGCCATGACACCTTCTTCAGTTTCGCTTTGAGTTGCTTCGAGGATCATCGGGGAACATCGGCTCATCGTCGGCTCATCGTTGGTTCAACATTGGCTGGAGAGATGGCATCGTAGAACTTCGAGACCAATCAGGGACTACGGCGACGCAGGGCTACCAACAGCGCTTGATTGATGTCAACCATGTCAACTTCCCGTGGATGACGACAACTTCCCTGAGTGAGGCAACACTGCATCTGAACTTCAGCTGGCGACTTCAACTTCCGAGATCGAGATGGCACTGGCAAGGAAAATAATACTCGGTGAGCCCTATTCATTGTTGTAAAAACGGGTCACTGGCTAACAATAGTTTGTTATTTTCCTATGATAGTAGTAGTTATAAGAGTGTATCAAGGTGCTGTGGGCTAATGGTGAATGCGCCAATGGAAGAGAGATGCGTAACGTAGAGATGATAGTAAATTTATTGTGAACTCAGACGGTAATAATATTCTTTATTATTGGTTTTAAGGGTATTTTAACCCAATAAGGCATCCTTCCATGGTCAGGTCGTCACCTCCAGGGCACTTCGTTCACTGTAGACGGTTAAGATGGTTTAGACTAACTCTATTTAACCTTTAATTAAGAATTGATTATAATAGTTATTGTGTACATTTGGTATTGATAGTAGGCTACTCAGGTTGAGTTGGTACCTAATGAGTTTATTTTGATTTTGATCTGAATAATTAATGGGTTTATTTTGATTCTTATTTTGATATCTATGCAATTCAATTAGGACTTAATAACTTGTACGATTTTATGCTATTGACTTAAATATTTGTTTTATTATAGGGTTTTGGTAACTGTGTTTGTTGATTAGTAAATTTATCGTTGAGTATAGGTGATTATTGATCTAGGGTTCTGATTGATTACTGTAATATCAGTAAATTGTTTGGTGTAGTTTTAATTGCTATAAGGTTACGTGAGTTCTTGCATTTCTTAACTGAATATTATATTATGAGATAATTATATTATATTGAATGTATTGAATATTGTATTGAGACATTAATTATATTGAAAAGGGTGAATAGATATAAATGTAAATAATATTTACACATTGAGTCTTATGGTCCATGGTTTATAGGATGATTATAGGCTAAAAAGGAAATTTAGAGTATAATAATTGGTACATAACCTATAGTCGTTATTGGCCTTTATGACGTGGTAGATGCCAAGGCCTAGGAGAAGAGCTAAGTCTGCACCTACAGAGATGGCAGGAATATTACTAGATGGTACCGAAGTGGAACTTCAAGATGCATTTGATGCATTGTCGACTAAGGTCAAGAGTTTGCAAGACACCTTAGATGAAACTCTACACAACCGTACCGATCTCGTTGCTAGTAGGATGGATGAAACATTAGCCAATCCCAATCCACAACAACCAGCACCAGCACCTCGGCCGTACTTTGACTTAGTGTCAAGTATCCCGAGTTACAATGGAGAGAAGGCAGACATGGTCCTGCCCTTCTTTGAACACATCGATGGAGTATCGGAGTTGAGCGGCTGGAGTGACGCCCAAAAGCTCCAGGTCATTAAACTTAAGCTTACCGGGAGCGCCCTCCAGTTCCTCAAATGTGATGAAAAATGCAACCACATCCGAAGAGATTCGTGCGGCGATTGTAGACCGTTTTGGTGACAATCTGCCCGATCACTACTACTTCGAACAATTGGCAAATGTAAGGCAGATCAAAGGGGAAACAATCGAAAAATTTTCCGATAGAGTAAAGCAGATTTGTGACAAGACCATGAGAAACACTAGCAATGATGAGGTCAATAAAGTATTAAGAGAGGATGCCGACAGACGGGCAAAGGAAGCTTTCGTCAGAGGATTGTACGGTGAGGTAGGACGGCAGACTCGGATTAAGTTCTGTAAAACTTTTAAGGAGGCTGTAAGTACTGCGATTGCTCTTAAGAATCTGGAAGTCAGACCAGGGGTAGAGGACGAGCAGCGTCCAAGAAGAGTGTTTGGCTTGGAATCTAACAACAACCCAACCTGCTTCAACTGTGGGAGGACGGGCCATGTAGCGAGAGAGTGTCGATCCCAACCCGGTGGACGTAGACCCAACGACCTTTTTTGCAACTTTTGCAGAAAAAGAGGCCACACTGAGGACCGCTGCAGAGAAAAGTTGCAATGCAGTATATGTAAACGGACGGGACACACGAGAGAGACTTGCTGGTCGAATAGTCGGAATGTAAGAGGCACCAGTGACAGCACAAACTGGAGAAGAGGCGGAGGCTCGGGAAGAGGGAAGTTTGGAGAGCAGCCGTTAAACTCAAACGGGGCTTCCAGGAGCGCCGCTGGAAATCCCAAACGACACTAAATCTGGATGCACCACCCAGATCTCCTCAGGCGAACAAACCAAAGAAAATACCCACATTGAATCAATCGGCTAACGACGAGTTAGTGGTCGACGGATGCGTAGGTGACGTGGCAGGCATGATTATTGTGGACACAGGAGCCCAGGTATCACTGGTTGATAGGAGAATCATCCTAGGACCAGTGGAACCAACAGATATTAAGATTAGAGGCATCAAAGGGGACGCTATGACCATATACGGCAAAGTGAAAGAGATCCTCACGCTTGATAACATGGCATTTGAGTGTAACTTCGTAGTAACAGACCTGCCGAACGACTCCATTGCAATCCTAGGGTATGATGTCCTAAAATGGAGGAAAGCAGTGATAGATCTAGAGGAGGGGGCTCTGTGTATTTCAGGGCATATTGCTGCAAAACTCCTTAACAGGACAAACTACGGAACAGGTTCAAAACTGAGTGGGCTAGGAAGAGCATCACAAACCGCACACGAAGAAGACAACAAAGAAGAGAATGTTACAGAAGATATATCTCAGACAAAGGAACCAACACCAAATAGCATAATGGCTTATTGTCGGACTAATATCACAGTACCAGCAAAATCAGAATTTCTTGTCAATGTAAAAATCAGTAGAAACACAAAACACATAGCTGAAGATTTGGAAGGAAAGGTTGTCATTGCTGAACCAGCGCCCATCAAAATTCACGGTATATATGTAGCTAGGAGTTTAACTACAGTAAATAACGGACGTTGCTGGACAAAAATTGTCAACACAAGTTCTGAGGGTCTAGTTGTGTACAAAAACACCTTGCTATGTCAAATCCAAGAACCATATGGAAGCCCAGCGGAGAAAGAAGTAAAATCTACATTCATAGCATCGGTTGATGATGAGGACGACTTTGAAGATAAGCTGGACGGGAAATTAGACCACTTAACATCAGAGGAAAGGATCAAGATAAAAGAAGTTCTTTACAAGTATAAAGGAATATTTAATATTGGAAAAATTGGACATTTAGGATGCACATCAAAAGTCACACACAAAATCAATACTGGTAATCACTCGCCAATCAATAAGAGACCGTACAGGGTTCCCCATTCCCAGAGACAGGTGCTTCAAGAACTGATTCAAGATCAACTCGATAAAGGGATAATTGTGCCCAGTACATCTCCTTGGTCAGCACCAGTAGTCATTGTTCCCAAAAAACCAGGAGCAGATGGGGTAATCACTTATCGTATGTGTATAGACTTCAGAGAGTTAAATAAGTGTACTGTACCAGAGGTGTATCCGATACCAGATGTTCACGAAACCCTCGATTCACTAGGAGGTAGTAGATACTTCACCGCCTTAGATATGAACTCAGGCTTTTTCCAGGTCAAAATGCACCCTGACAGTCAAGAAAAAACAGCGTTTAGTACCCCAGATGGCCATTATGAGTATACCAGAATGCCAATGGGATTAATCAACTCCCCGTCAGTCTTTCAGAGGCTAATAGACTCCACATTAGCCGGGTTGAAAGGGAAATCCTGCTTACCTTATATGGACGACATCCTGATATTCAGCTCAACGATAGATCAGCACGCAAAAGACATCTCTGATGTCCTTGAGAAATTTAAGGAAAAACCTAAGTGTACAGCTGAAGAAGTGCCAAATTGCGCAATCGGAAATCAACTTTCTAGGTCACGTGGTGACAAGAGGAGGAATCAAACCATGTCCAAAGAAGACACAAGCTATCAAAGAGTTCCTGCAACCGAAGAATGAGAAGGAAGTTCGTGGATTCATCGGTCTATGTGGATACTACAGAAGACACGTACCGAATTTTGCAGACATCGCTAAACCTTTAACAAAACTAACAAAAAAAGATCAAGATTTAAATTGGACCACAGATTGCGAGACTGCATTTCAAAAATTAAAAGAGAAATTAATAACAGAGCCATTACTAATTTATCCTGACTTTTCGAAAAACTTCATATTAAGTACTGATGCATCAAACCTATAGGAGCTGTATTAGGCCAGGAAATTAACGGCGTAGAACACCCTATTGCTTATGCCAGCAGGCAATTGAACTCAGCCGAAAGAAATTATAGTGTCACTGAGCGTGAACTTCTAGCTGTTGTGTGGGCTGTCAAGTACTTCAGATGTTATCTTTATGGACGGTCGTTCACCCTGTACATAGATCACAGTGCGATCAAATGGTTACTATCTCTAAAAGATCCATCCAGTAGACTCACCAGGTGGGCATTAAAATTAGCTGAGTATGATTACAAAGTAGTCCACAAACCAGGTGTCAAAAATCAGAACGCTGATTGCTTAAGCAGAGTTGTTTGTAAAAATACTTGTGAAAATTTACCTTTATTGGACCTTGAAAGCATCAAAGAACATCAAAAGAAGGATCCAGAATGTCAAAATCTTAAGAAATATCCACACTTTAAAACCAACCCTCAAGGAGTGATGTACTTCAAAAAGGGAGATGAAAAGCTTATATTAGTGCCTAAAACCCTCAGAGAAAAAGTAATGAGACTGCATCATGATTTACCGACAACAGGACATGGTGGCATTAGGAAAACACTAGTTAGAATTCAAGAGAAATTCTATTGGCCCAAGATGAAAATTGACGTCACAAACTTCATTAGAGCCTGCATTCATTGTAGTAAAAGAACAGACCATGGTAAAATTACAGCACCTTTAGGAGAATTCGATGAAGTAACTGAGTTTGGGTACAGAATATCATGTGATGTGGTTGGCCCATTGCCGCTAACAAGATCAAAGAACAGATATATACTGTCTGTAATAGATCACTTTACCAGATATGGAGAATTTATCGCCATACCAGACCAAACCGCTGAGACAACAGCTCAAGCAATTGGTCAGAGAGTAGTTACTAAGATAGGAGTACCCATGGAGCTCATAACCGATCAAGGAGCAAATTTTACATCAGATCTTATGAAACACATGTGTAAGCTCTTGCGGATAAAGAAACTGCAAACAACAGCTTACCACCCTATGAGTAACGGAAGGACTGAGAGAGTGCACAGAACAATACTAAAAATGTTAAGTCATTTCGTGAACCAGAATCAGAATGATTGGGACGAGATGATGCCCATGGTAACAATGGCATACAACACCCAAATACATGATTCAACAGGTTTTACGCCATTTGAGATTAATAAATCGTCAATTATCAAGTCAAATAAAAGAATGGTCAATTTCAGTACATTTCAACAACTATTTATTTACTCATTATTTAACATTATTAGAAACATATGACATTTAATCTTCACAAATAAGTTATACAACAGAAATCTAAGGATTATTCAATGGTCATACATATGTATGAAATTAGTCATTAACATCTTTCCCCTCCTCAGGTAGAATGGCAATTTTTGTCATCGGACGTCGAAAAGTACCTTTTGGTGTTGTGATGTCAACAACTCTTACTTGTCCATCTCGACCGGGGTATAGGGCAGATATTCTTCCAAGGGGCCAGGTGTTACGTGCGTTGTCTTCATCTACGATTATTGCCAAGTCGTCAACTTCAGGTGGAACAGTTCTTTTATGCCATTTGCACCTCCTTGTCAAGCAGGGTAAATACTCATGAATCCACCTTTTCCAAAAGTTGTCTAGTAGGGTCTTAACTCGAGTTAGTTGCCTTCTGCAAAGTTTGTCTTCATTGATATCTATTTTGAAGGCGTCTCTAAGGAAATGGTTTGGAGTGAGCGGGACTGGATCGAGTGGGTCAATTGGTACATTAGTCAGTGGTCTTGAATTGATGATAAATTCTATTCGAACAAGAAAGGTTTGAAGTTCTTCATCCTTAGGATACTGGGAACGCATGACAAATTTTAATGCGGTTTTAACTGATCTGATGAGTCTCTCCCAGCATCCGCCCATATGTGGGGCTCGAGGAGGAATAAAGTTCCATTTGATACCTTGTCTGGATATGACCCTCTGAATGTGGACATTGTTTAAACACTTAGTAGCATTCCTGAGTTCTTTGTCACTCCCAACAAAGTTTGTCCCATTGTCCGAGAACATCTTCGATGGACAGGGTCTTCGGCTAATGAACCGTTGGATTGCCATGATACAACTTTCTGTGTTCAAAGAATGTGCAACTTCCAAGTGGACAGCTCTAGTTGTCAAACATATGAACAAAACTCCCCAACGTTTCTCGTGTCTCCTCCCTACAGTTACTTCTATCGGTCCGAAGTAATCTACTCCAGTGTAGAAGAACGGGTGGCTAGTTCTTGTTACTCTGAACTCTGGTAGAGGCGCCATTTGGGGGGGAACAGGCTTCGCACAATTCAATCTGCACCTCATGCATTCTTTCTTAATTTTCTTTAGAAGTGGTCGTAGATTTGTTATCCAGAATTTTTCTCTTATCTTGCACCCAACTGTCTCGAGACCTTGATGGAAACATTCATTATGATACATTTGTCCTATCAATCTCGAAGTAAAGTGTCGGCCATCTAATATTATAAGGTTTTTCTGATCTTCCGTCAGTTCGGGTGAGTTTGAGGTTCTTGATGACATTCTTAAAATATTGTTACAATCCAAATATGGAGAGAATAAATAAATGCGGCTTGACTTTGGAATAGACTTCTTTCTCATCAAAAGTTTCCTTTCTTCACCAAAGGTTTCATCCTGTGCAGATTTCAAAAGAATTTCTTCGGCAGCTTTCAGTTCTTTAGGTTCCAGCTCAACGAGGTTGTTGTAGTCTATTGGTCCAAATCGAAGTTGAGTTTTGTCGTTTGATTTGCACCTCGATTTTAAGTTATTGACATATCTCAAAATCCAAGCAACAATTCTAGTCGGTTTCTCCCATGACGAGAACTTTGAAACGTCAATTATTTTTGCTTCGTCATCTGCATGTAAGCCGGTAAACTGGCGTTTGGTTTCTTGGTCTTCTTTCACTTGTAGATTCGGTGGTTGTGTGGGCCAGTGTTCACAGTTTAAAGATAGAAATTGGGGACCATGGAGCCATTTGTTTTGAATGTCAGACTTGAACCTTTTCATGCTTCTAGTTGCATAGTCGGCAGGGTTCAATTTTGTGGGGACCCATTTCCAGTCTTCTGCTGAAGAAAGTTCTTGGATTTCTCCAATTCTATTAGAGACAAACTGTTTATAGTTTTTTGGATCTGACTTAATCCAGTGTAGGACTGTTTGGGAATCAGACCAATACGTTTTCTTTTGGATTGAAACGCCCAAATCTTGTTCAGCAGCAGAAGCTACTCTACATCCTAAAACGGCAGCTTGGAGTTCCAGTCTAGGTATAGTCAGGTTCTTGATGGGTGCCACTTTGGCACGTGACATGATCAATGTCGTTTCGTAAGTGTCTTTGTTCTCCTGACGCAGATATGCAGTTGCAGCAAAGGCTTCTTCACTTGCGTCAACAAATATGTGAAGTTCAACTGAGTCACTGACTCGTGTGTTGAAGTAGCACCTTTGTATTTTCAGTGTTCGAAGACTTTTGACTTCATCCATCCAAGCTTTCCACTTCAGACTAAGTTCAGGTGTCACAACATCATCCCAACCTAGTTTTGTTCTCCATATATCCTGAACCAGTAGTCTCCCTTTTACTGTGGTAGGGGCAATCAGACCTAGAGGATCGAAAATTGACATAGCTGCTTTAAGAATCTCTCGTTTCGTCGGATACTCAGATTCGAGAAATTCAAGTTTTTCGACATTGCGATGGAACACAAAGCAGTCGGATTCAGCGTCCCACCATAATCCAAGTACTCGTTCTGTAGGAAGTCGAGTATCGGGCATCAAATGTTTGGCTTGGCTGGCTTTCAGGTTTTCAGGAATTTTCAAAAGCACTTGTTTTGAATTAGACATCCAGTTACAAATTTGGAATCCTCCAGCTCTATGTATCTCAATTATTTCTTGAACACGTTGTTTAGCTTCCTCTTCTGTGTCGGTTGAATCAGAATCAGAATCAGAATCATCATTTATTGTCTTTCAGCATTACATACATGCAATAGACAGTGTCATTTTACATGCAAAATAAATAAAAAAAATACATAACATACAATTTATAACAGATAGGCTTATAACTATAATACTGATTTAAAAATTAACAGAATGCTCTTTATAAAATTCGTCTAGGCTGTAAAAAGGATTTTGGATCAGCCAGTCATACAACCTTTTTTTAAACACTTTAAGCTCCAGAAATTTACAGCTATCACTTAACTTATTAAATAATTTCAAACTAACTATATTAAAACTATCTTGACATTTACTTAAACTAGTATATGGCAGGTCTAGCATAGATTGGTTTCTTGTATTATGGCTATGGATATCTGATCTTAAAACTAATAAACCTAAATTAAAATCTTTTTTCACCTTCACCAAGCAAACAAATATATACAAATTTATCACAGTTTGAATTTTACATTTTTTAAACAAAGGTTTATGCCTAAGCTTTCCATTTTTTTCAAGAGAAACCTTATTCAAAATACGAAGTGCTTTTTTTTGGATTAACAAAACTTGATCTATATGGGCACTATTTCCCCAAAGAATTAGGCCATAATTTATGACTGACTGAAAAAATGCGAAATAAGCTGTTCTAACATATGACTCAGGTACAATATCCATCAGTGATTTGAGCAAGAAGGTGACTCTAGATAGTTTACAACATACTAACTCAACATGTTTTTCCCAAGATAAAGTACTATCAATTACAACTCCTAGAATTTTAATATTTGTTTTCTGATCCTGGTTGTTGGCCCTTAGAGTACAAAGAAGATTTTGAGTTTTTTCTAGGTTTAAAAGGAGGTTATTTGAGCTGAACCACATCTTAGCTTTATCTAGAGTTTGTTCAATTGTTGATTTGAGATGGTCATAATCTGAATGGACACTTAAAAAACTAGTATCATCAGCAAATATAATAGTTGATGAGTTGGTTATATTGCTAGCTATATCATTAATTACCAGAATAAAAAGTAGTGGTCCAATCACTGAATCTATCAAATCAAATCAAATCAAATCCTTACGGGTTAATCTAGCAGGTCGTCCATATATTCTTTAGTCAGTATGGAATTACTAGCTTCAGGATACAAAGTTTGAAACTGTCTTGCATTGTGGTTTACAACAAACAGTGCAGAGCTTGGTGAACATGTTGCTCCGAAGGTCATCGCTTTCATTATGTAGGTATCTGGGGTTTTGGTTTTGTCTTTTCGCCACAGAAATCTTTGTGAGTCAACGTCTTCATCTTTTATATTTACTTGGTGAAACATCTCCTTTATATCTCCCACGATAGCAAATTTTCCTAACCGGAATTTTAACAGCACAGATGGCAATGGATTCAAATAGTCAGGGCCGCTGAGTAGTGCATCATTGAACGAAACTCCGTGAGATTTAGCAGCAGCATCGAAAACCAATCTTATTTTGTCAGGTTTGTTCGGATTCGATACTCCAAAGTGGGGTAGATAGAATGTTAGATCTGTTATGATAGCAGCTTTTTCAGGGCTGAGTTTTCTAATATATCCTTTTTCCATGTATTCGTCAATCTTGGTTGTATAAGCTTCATTAAATTCCAGATTTCTTTCCATTTTCTTTTCAAGAGTATTTAATCTTCTCAGAGCATTGTCATAGCTTGGAGGAAAATTAAATTCGTCATTTTTCCATAAAAGACCAACTTCGTAATGATCTCCTGTTTTCTTTATGGTATCCTCAAGAATTGATACTCCACGTTCTTCTTCTATGGACAATTTCAGGTTGTTTGATCTAGTTTCTCCATATTTCTCTAATTCAAAGGATTTCTTTACCATGTCATGAAGTGAAGATTCTTCATATGAGAGCAGGGTAAAATTTTCATCCACACGATCTCTGAATTGTGCACACTTCCCATGTAGAGTCCAACCAAGAAGGCACCATGACAGTACTGGGGCGTTAGTAGGACCTTCAATAATCTTACGGGTTAGAATTAGGTTACAGTTGTCTTGGCCTATCAAGAGAGTGGGCCTGACACTCGCTAATGGAAGAGGTTGGTTGATCGAGTTTAGGTGAGGCCAGTTCTTCCTCAATTTGACACTGTCTATTTGTTGGTGTGGTAACTCTAAAGTGGACTGAGTTCTAACCCCTTTCAATGTAAAGATTTCATCCTCGTAAAATGCTTTTATTTTTAAATCTATTCTCTTTGATTGAGATTCAAAGTGTCTTGTGTTGTTAGACCAACATGTTGTCAAAGGAACAATCTCACCTTTGATACCAAGTTCATCGGCAATTGATGAATCCAGAAGTGATACAGTCGAGCCGTCGTCTAAAAGGGCATAAGTATCTACCTGGGACTTGGGACCGTACAACGTGACAGGACAAACACGAAGCAAAACACGGTTTGATAAGTTATTCTCAAAATGATTACCAATTACTTCATCTCTCGATTTTAACTCTCCCTCATTTCTTTTCGTTGGAGGTCTTTCAAGATTGGAGTTATGTAAGAGACGGTGATGGTCCAGCTTACAACCGTTTATACTACAAGCTCTTTTAGATTTACAAAATTTAAGTTGATGTTGTTTGAAACATGAAAAGCATAGCTTTTTCTCACCTACCATTTTCCACCTTTCGGAAATATCAGCTTTCCGAAGCATAGAGCATTTGACATTATCGTGCTTACCACCACAGAACACGCAGGTAAGTGGGTCAACTGCTGGAACTGCTGCTTTTAAAGAGTTGGTCAACACAGGTTTGAAGTCATTTTTCTTTCAACTCTCCCTCATTTCTTTTCGTTGGAGGTCTTTCAAGATTGGAGTTATGTAAGAGACGGTGATGGTCCAGCTTACAACCGTTTATACTACAAGCTCTTTTAGATTTACAAAATTTAAGTTGATGTCGTTTGAAACATGAAAAGCATAGCTTTTTCTCACCTACCATTTTCCACCTTTCGGAAATATCAGCTTTCCGAAGCATAGAGCATTTGTCATTATCGTGCTTACCACCACAGAACACGCAGGTAAGTGGGTCAACTGCGGGAACTGCTGCTTTTAAAGAGTTGGTCAACACAGGTTTGAAGTCATTTTTCTTTCTAGTCGGGACGTCCTTGTTTGGATGAAAATAGATACTCATGATGGAACATTGTCTCTCTAACCAATCTGAAAAATCACTTAGGCTAGGTCTAGTTAAACACATACTGCTCACATGTTGAGCCCAATGGTACTTCATTTGATAAGGCAATTTTCCTAACAGTTCACTGAGTAGTTGAGGGTTCGTCATGTAGTACTCCATATGAAGAGACACAGCTGTCGAGGTAAAGTTAAGAATGGTTGTAGAAAACTCGATGAGGCCAACAATATCGTCTTCAGTTACAGGGGCTAGCATTCTAGTTTGGTTCATTATAGACTCAATGATAAACTCGGGCCTACCGAAACGCATCTGTAACGTTTTAATTATGGCATGCAAGTTTTTACTGGAAACAAAAAGAGGTTTCACCATTTTGAAGGCTTCGCCTTCAAGACAGTTTCTAAGTCTAGCTAGATTGTCATCATCAGAATACAATTTTACGGTATTTTCAAATGCAGAAAAGAACATAGGCCACTCATCTGGTCTACCACTAAAGTTTGGTAGTTGTTGGCGGCAAAGAGAGGTTGGTTGAATAGCTTTTTTGACTGAATCTGCTAGTAATTGTGCAGCCGTGGTCATAGCGGTTGATGAACACTGATGAACTGTCGGTTCATTATCATTCAGCCACTTTACGACTTTACTCTCAGATTCTCTCTCCTCTCTCTGAGATATTAAGCTTTGACTTATGCTTACCTCAGATCCGCAGACTTGACTACCATTTGCCGATAGTGATTTCATAGAAGTCCTTATTTCCAGCATTTGTTTACGTCGCTCTAGCTCCCTCTCGTCTCTCAGCCGTTGTCGCTCCATTTCCTTCTCCAGACGTTGTCGCTCTATTTCCTTCTCCAGCTCCAGTCCTTGTAGCTCCATCTCCTTCTCCTCCATCAGTCTTTGTCTTTCCAGCTCCTTTTCTTCATTTTCTCGTTCCAGTTTTTGTATTTCCTCCAACTTTTCAAGTTCTATTTCCATTTGTCTCCTGCTGCTTGATGTTGCTGATTTACTTTTTGTTTTCCTTGAACTACTAGAAGTAATGCTGGGTTGTCTCAATGCTACTTCTTGAGTGTCATTTTTTCCATTCTCAGAAACATTCTTTGATAATTTGTCTGTATCATGATTTTCATTCTGATCAGGGGTATACCTTTTTGGAGGTTTAACTTCTCTATTACTTTTTCTGTAAGACATGGTTCTTTTTTAGTTTGGGCACCAATAATAAATCGTCAATTATCAAGTCAAATAAAAGAATATTTCTTTCAGTACAACATTTTATCACTATTTATTTACTCATTATTTAACATTAGTAGTAGTGATTTTGGGAATTCATGGACAGAGGAGGGAGGAGTGTAGACCACGTGGGTTGAGGTAGGTCGGGAAGGGAGGTGTGTCCATGACGTCAACAGAGGATGATCTTACAGACAGAGACTGATCCTCTGATTTGGATGACCTTTTTTTGTGTAGATATAAAGAACGTTAAATCAGTTCTCATTTGGTATATTTGTCGTATAATAGGATCTCACGGCTGAGATCGAAAACGACAACAGCTTTTGAATCTCATTTTATATAGGACCACCAATAGGTTCTCAACTGCACAAAAATGGCGCCGATTGCATCATTCGGTGCTCATGTTTTTACTAGAGGATTTGTATGAAGATGCAGTATTTCGATCTCAATGTATACTGACACGCCATTTGAAACTCATTGTTTTCATGTTGATTTTTACGTGTCTTCTGAGTTGAGTCGTTCTGTGTTTAGTGACGTCACTTGTCTTGGGATCATGTGATCATGGAATGTTAAACGACAACAGCTTTTGAATCTCATTTTATATAGGACCACCAATAGGTTCTCAACTGCACAAAAATGGCGCCGATTGCATCATTCGGTGCTCATGTTTTTACTAGAGGATTTGTATGAAGATGCAGTATTTCGATCTCAATGTATACTGACACGCCATTTGAAACTCATTGTTTTCATGTTGATTTTTACGTGTCTTCTGAGTTGAGTCGTTCTGTGTTTAGTGACGTCACTTGTCTTGGGATCATGTGATCATGGAATGTTAAACGACAACAGCTTTTGAATCTCATTTTATATAGGACCACCAATAGGTTCTCAACTGCACAAAAATGGCGCCGATTGCATCATTCGGTGCTCATGTTTTTACTAGAGGATTTGTATGAAGATGCAGTATTTCGATCTCAGGACAGAGGAGGGAGGAGTGTAGACCACGTGGGTTGAGGTAGGTCGGGAAGGGAGGTGTGTCCATGACGTCAATAGAGGATGACTTTACAGGCAGAGACTGATCCTCTGATTTGGATTACCTTACAGGCAGAGACTTATCCTCTGATTTAGACAGCATTGAAGTTGGACATTGCTAGTTCTATTCTGTCTAGTTCTATTGTCTGCCGCTCAGCTGCACTGCATGCAAGGTGCAAATAGCAATATTTTCTGCTACTGTAGTTATGGATTTGTGACCATGTGGAGTGAGGTAGGTCGGCGACTCAGCACGACTCAGCAAGAACTCAGCAAGACTCAGCGACTCAGCATGACTCAGCAAGAAGGCGAGTATGGGGGAGGGAGGAGGGGTGTGTGTCCATGACGTCATACAGAGGATCTGTGACCACGTGGAGTGAGGTAGGTCGGCGACTCAGCACGTGGTGTGGTTTGGACCACGCCAATGCATCCTTCGGAGGCGAAAAATATTTTTTTTGTGTTTTTCAGTTTTAATATTTTGTGTATTTTATTTCTGTTCTATTAGTTTATTGTTGTAAACTCGATCTGACCATGGCTTTTGGGTATCAAAGCAAGTTTTTCGTTGACACCGTTGTTGTAGTTTCTAATCATGACGTCTGTCAAAATGTTGTTGTACCTGCATGGGAGATACAGTTTTCTTAGATTGCCACAAGGGTCTTCTTCGACAGTAGCAGTTACCGAGGGACCGTATCTCGTCACGACTCGCTGCAACTCTACTATTCTGTAGGGATGCTCATGTCGCAGCTCTTCGATTTTAGTGTATTTGGGTGCTTGGTACACGTTAAGCAAATCTAACAATTGTGCCATGTCTCTCACTTATATAAATGCGCAGTTACATTACCTTGATTATGTTCCTTGATATGTCGTAGGCAAACGCGTTTTCAGAGACTACGATGACATATGCGGTAGTGCCTGAATCGGCTGATGGTGATGCGATTGCGTTTGTGAAATCGAATTCTATTTGAATGTCACTTCTAGAACGGTCTGTATTCATTGGATGAAGATGTGTGTCGACAACATACAGTGGGTAGTGTGAAATAAACTCGCTTGGGTCAATGATCATTGAGCTGTCATCGAAATTCACCTTACGATATCTCATGAATTGCTCGTAAATCACTCTCCAACGTCCCTCAAGGATTGCAGCGTTTTGTAGTTCTTGAGGGTAACGTTGACCATTTATTTTAACTGCAAAGTTCTTTATATTTTCGCTGTCAAATTGTGCTGGGTTCTTTTTCTGATCATTCGTGCGGTTAGTTTGAAAGCACATGATTACGAATCTAGGGTTGTATACGTTTCTATAAACGTTTGTAATGTCGAATGTGTACGTAGATCCGAACACACCTTTTTTGTCAATACATTGCCACTGATAATAGTTGTAGATCAACTCGTCTTTTTCACTAAGTTTTGTTAGACCGTCGATTAGTTGGATTTTGCTAGTTGACGTATATTCCACTATGGGAACTCTGAGAACGAAGGAAGTGATTTTCACTTTGCCGTCCTCAGGATCGGTAGCTGCGGCACCGGTTCCTTTCCAATGGTATAGAGCGTCGTTATCTTCAGCTCTTGTGAATACAATCTCGAATCCACCTTTGTACATGGGGTATCGCATGTGGTCAAAGAACCCTAACCCGAGATGTGCTAAGGTTCCAATCGCTTCGAACTTGCCACCACCAAGCGAGTATCTTGATGCGAACCCACAGTTTTGCAAAGCGGGTTTCATCGATTGAGGATAGTTTAGAATACTTTTGATAGTGCTTGTAATTCCCGGATTATCGACCACATCGATGGTTGTGTTGTGTTTTTTCAGTTCGATTCTTGTAAAGAGGTATGGTATGAAATTGTCAATCAGGGCTATAGTGGCAGTCGCATCATATGTTTGACCATTGGATTTTTTTACTACCTCGCCGCAGATGTGATATTGAATTGCCGAGTCGTAAAACGTGTCTCCGTGATCGAGTTTGAAGATTGTGTAATTGTTTGGTGTGTTGAAATTCAACTCGGATATCGGCATAACAGCTCGGTACTCGCTTTTCACCACTCCCGTGGAGAAACGTTCGTACAGTGCTTCCATTGTCTACAATAACTTAATAACACACAAGAACAAAAAAAATATAAGCTAATTTTTTTTTATTTTTTTTTACTACATGGTATATATATAGGCTTACTCATCGAACTCCTCGTCCATGTAAGCTTTGTGATCATCCAAAAACTGTTGCGAAACGATCTGGAACTTTTTAATGTATTCCCAATCGACTTTGTTTGCGTAGTCGTGTATGAACGACTCGGAAAGTATTTGGTGCTTGCTGACAGCAAACCACGCATGCTCAAAGTTTGGTGCCATCTCACGAAGGAAGCTCTCACTGAATTTTTGCCTCTTCAGAATAGGACCCCAGTCAACACGATGGAAGTAAATACGTAGCATATCGATGGAGAAATCATAGTGAACTGACAACAGGTCCCAGTTGAGGTAAGTAGGCCAGGCGGGGATATGGAACCAAGATGGCGGCCGTCCAAGCTGGGTGTACTCTCAGCTGACCACAGGTGACCACGTGACGTCAGTAGGTGTTTGTATTAAATTAAATATTAAATTAAATATTAAATAATGGATAAAAAGTGTTGGCTTGACCGGGTTTCGAACCCCGGTCTTTTTATTGGTAATTGTATGCGTTAGCTGGTTGAGCTACAGCAATGTTATGGGTATGGAGTTTTATATCGGTAAATGACATCTTAACTTATGTATCTTATGATACCTATATACAGGGTGTATTGGAGGTTTAATTTTAATATGGTTCACGGGTTCGAATCTAACCTAATATCATTTCCGGTTATTTAATCCTAACCTAATGGTATTGTATTATAGTGGGAGGTTCATGGGTTTAATCCTAACCTATTATTGGAGGTTCACGGGTTCGAATCTAACCTAGCATAAAATATATCATTTCCGGTTATTTAATCCTAACCTATGCTAGAGGTTCAATTCTAGCCAACCACAGCTGTTTATTTCACCTAGTTTAGAGGTTTACGGGTTTAATCCTAGTAGGATTTGTAAAAAAAAAACACTTTATATAGTGTATAATGCTTAAGCAGAACCTTACCGTTGATTATAATTGGTAAATGTTGGAGGTTATTCTATATATGCAATAATAAATATAAATCAGCTGAAAGAGGGTTTAAGTGGAACTTAACCGTTGATCATAAAAGAATGTTAAATGTGTAGTAGTAGTATTGGAGGTTATTTTATATAGTGTATAGTGCTTAAACTTTACCGTTGAGCATGTTATGTTGATATTATAATTTGTATATATGTATCTCTGTAACTTACATATACAGGGTGTGTATTGGAGGTTTAATTCTAGCCTATACTAGAGGTTTAATGCTAACTAATATATCATTGGAGGTTATGGTATTGTGTATAATAAATGTGAAACAAACAGATGTTAAAAACAGCTGAAAGAGGGCTTAACTTTACTATTGAGTATAAAAAATGGTCTTTGTAAAGGCCACCAAATATCATATGTTAAACTTATATTTAATCTATGTTAAATGAGTTCTTTGTATTGTAGTGTGAGTCCTGGAGGTTCATGGGTTCGATTTTTATCAATCACCAATCATTTCCGGTTGGGGTGTTTTTTTTTGTTGGTATAGTTAACTGTTTGTATATGAGTTCTGGGGGTTTGATCTCTTGTATATGTAACATAACCTCACTTTCAACCTAAATAGGTCTATTAATTTATTACTAAGTGTTGATGGTATTAGTTTACAAATTCTCTACTAGATTGCAGCACCAATGCTACCAACTACTGATTATATGATCTTGTAACATAACCTTACTTTTATCTAAACCAGTCTATTAATTTATTATTAAGTGTTGATGGTATTAGTTTACAAATTCTCTACTAGGCTGCAGCACTAGTGCTACCAACTACTGATTATATGAT